CTCTTCCTTTTGATACCGCCGAGCCAGGAGCCCGGTGCTAAACGGGGGCTGCTGTCCTCACCACGCCGCAGGCACGGGCAGAGCAGAGCCTTGCCCGCTTGACTCTCCTCCTGGCACACAGCAGGAGCCAGCTCGCTGTCTGATACGCGCTCACCAGTGCCGGCACATCGGCGGCATGCTCACCTGTGCTATATGCGTTCCCATCTGCTTGCCTGTGCGCACACCTACTGCACGCTCACCTGCAAGGGCCCATGTTCTCTTGCATACGCATTGGCACCGAGTGCTTGTGCACGCACTCAGGATGTACAGCCTGCCCTACTGTGTGCTTGTGTGTCACGCACATGTGCACCAACCCTGAGCATGCTGGAGCATGGTCACAAGTGCTCAGGAAGTGCAATAAGCTCCCTTTCTCCCATGCATCCTTGAACACACACGTTTGCCCATGCACATGCTCCCACACATGCATGAGACATGCACACAGCCTTTCGTACCTGCCCATGCACATGTGTGCACACCTGCTTGCTCACCCACAAACAGTCTTAGACTGCCTTGCTGTGCAAATCCACGTTGACTTTTATTCCAGGCTCTTGTCTGTGTTTGGGAAGGGCACGGGGCTGCTCTGGCTTGCGCCTACCATGGGACAGAATAGCCCCATTGTTGCAAAAGCTGCCTGTGGGGAGCTGCAGATAGAAATGTGGGAATTAAGGAGTGAGCAGAGCTCAGGTGCTTCCAGGTGAGATACTTCAGGGCTGTGAAGAGAATAATACTGGAGCTATTCACTGAGAAGCGTCCGCCTGCCTTGGCGCTAGCGAAGTGAAAAGACTTGTTTTTCCCAGGGCTGGGCCCTAAAATGACAAGCATGCGCAGGAGTTTTAAAGAAACCTCTCCCTGGTGCTGGGGGTCGGGTGTGAGTGGCTCCTGGGGGACGGCAAAGCAGAGAGAGGCTTGGTGGAGGGGGTCTGAAGCCGCTGGGTCTGTGGCTAATGTTGGAGGGGTTGGGACTCCCCGTTTACAAGCTGTTGTGAAAAGTTTGGTGGTTTGTCACATCGTCACATTACGGGGCATGCCGGCCATTGCAACGAGCAGTGTCTTGCATCAAAGACAGCGAGGTGCCCCTGCCCGAGGCAGACCCGTCGGACTGAATCCACAGCCGGACCGTTGCGGGGGCCTGGGTAGCACGCCCGGGCCCTGGTCGAAGCGCGTGGGGAATTGCACGACTCCACCCCGACGGCTGCTGCTTCTATGGGGGTGGCCCCAGTACAGCAGCCATCCACACAAGGCTTTGGCAACCTCAAGGTTGCCCGTGATTAGGTTTTCTAGAAGGTAAATGCCTGTGTCCCGAATAACAGCTGCCTCTAGTGCTGCACCCGGTGGGCACTGGGGCCAAAAAGGCTAATGTAGACACAGCTCTGTTGGATGCAGGGAGTGGAAATCCTTGCAGCAGTTTGGCTCAGAAAGCTCCCTAAGCCCTTGGTCCCAAAAGCACCGTGCCTGGTTTGACAGGCACAGAGGCGGTCGTGAGCCTTCCTCGGTTTACACCGGGCCGCGACGTTCCCAGCAGCTGAAAAACAACCCCGTGGAGTCGCATCCCGAGCCCAGAATCGCCCAAGGCTCTCTTCTGTTTCAAGACCGGGAAGAGTTGGTGATTTTAAACTTTCAGGCTGGACTAGAATAGCAAGCTGCCAGTGCCCTTGATGAGCTCGGCGGCTAGGACTCGCCTCTGCAGTGACTTACGACACAGATGCGACTTAAGCAAAATTTCAAAGGCCATCAGGTTTGTGGCATGAGATTTTTAACCCCTTAACTGTTAAAGCATCAACTATTGGTGGGGGTTCACTTTGATATCCGCTCATTCTGAGTACTTTTCTTGGCCACGCTGCGAAGCGTACCAGTGAAGGAGGAGTGCGGTGTGGGAATAGCGTTGCTTGGCAGGTGGGGCTGAGGTGTGACGATCAGACGGGAATTATAGCACTAAATATTTGGCAGAGATTGCGATCCGTTAACGTCATCCACTAAGTGTATTTGACCCTAGAATGAGCTCATAGAAATGATGCACAGGTAGCATTTGCACGCACACGTGTGTGCGTGCACATGTGTGTGTGAAACTGCGACGAGTGACTTCACTAGACCTACCATGCTGCTCTGAAGTCCTGATCTGCAATTGCAAAACACCTGAAAGATGCTGAAGGCACGCAGGGCTTGTGGTATTAATGATCTACTCCAGTTTGATTTGGGCAGATGCACAAGTCCAGGGGGCTTGTACCAGCGGTCAAGGCCAGGGGAGTGGGCACACCCACCTGCCTCCCGCACAGGGCTCTGCCCCCTCCCTCGGCCGTGGGCGCTTGGGCGGATCCTCTTGGCACCCTCGGCCGGAGGGAGGAGGTAGCAAAAGAGCCTCGCAGCCCTGTGCTGCTTACACCAGGTTGTTAAGAAGAGACTGTGGACGGCTGCTGGGAAGGAAGAGTTTTATTGTCCAGGAGAAGGTGCAGACTCCAAACAGAAAAGAAAGGGAAGGAAAAGGGGAGACAAGGACCGTCCAGCAACCCCTGTCCTCGCTAAGGACCATCATCTGACAGCTTCCCACCCCTCCAACAACCCCCAGAGACACCCCCGTTATTCCTCGGGGCGGCCAGCACCAGAGACCACCCAGTCCCCCCACTCCCAGGGGCCAGGACCTACCAACACCCTGTGTCCCAGAGGCAGTCAAGCAAAGCTTGTGCCTCTGGCAGCCGCATCTCACCCACCAGCTCCCAAGTCTGACGAGCTGGGCCTATGCAGCAGTGTCCTTCCCTCGGGCTTGCTTGGTACTGCAGCTGATGGCAGGACCAGCCAGGCCCAGCCTGGGGGGATCCCGTGGGCAGCAGGACGGATGCTCTGCACATCTCCAATGACGGCCTGACCGCAGTTTGCTTGCGAAACGGCCCCGGGATCGCCGCGTGGGGTCCGAGGAGGGGGAAGCTAAATAAAACAACACATTGCATCTGTCCCTCGTTACAAAGAGCTTCCATAGGAAGAAATAGAAAGAGAGTGCCTGATCTATAGTCATAGGGAGAACTGAGGTGTGTATGCCCTGTATAGAAAGCTAAACCTGCCCTGGAAGAGCCGGTTTAGCAAGGATTATTGCAGTCTGGAAATGGCTTTAACCCCTCCCCTGACATCCAGCCACTCTCCAGGTCACTAGTGCTGCCAGGAGAAGGTGGGCTCGGGCCAGCTTCTGCGTCACTTAGCCTGGTGTGAATGCAGAGTAACCCCACGGAAAGGAACAGGGTGACACTGGATTCACTCTGCCACCACCACAACCAGAATCTAGCCCTTCCTTTGACCCGCCCGGGGGCTCAAACCCAAGCAGCCGCTGTGTTGTGCGCAGCGCTTCTCCCTTGCCCGGCGGAGAGGGGTTTCTCCGTGCCTCGTGCCGCATGTTGCTAGAAGAGGCGGTACAGCTTGTTCAGCCTCGTGGTTGGTTTGCTGTGCTTTGAGACCATTTTTGCTTATCTAAAGTAATAAAAGAGTTATGAACGTGGTAGAAAAATCATATTTACACCCACAAGAGACACTGGGAGCGGGGGGCCTGCTGTCCTTCCCCGTCCATTTCTATATTGCTTCCGCTTCAGTGTTCAGCTCGGGGCCCCTGACAGATCCAGTGCGTTTGCCTGTTGTCTTCCCATGTCCTCAGCGCACGACTAGGGATGCTCGCCCGCTGGGGAGCACTGCAGGGATCCCCTCCTTCCTTCCTCCCGGGGAACACCGGGCTCACAGCAAGGGAGGGCGCCTTCTCGGTCTCATACCGATCAACTGGAGCAGTCACAGCCCACTGGCATGACAGCCCCGGACAAAGCCTGGCGTGCGGCGATGGAGAGGACCCCTGAGCAGAGCCTCTGCCCAGGCTGCAGGGATTGTGCATTTGCAGCTGGGAGCATTGCAAGGAGAGATGCTGCTCCTGGACTCTCCCCAGGACAGCTGCACCCAAGGATACCCAGCCGGGCCCTGTTCGGAGGCAGGCAGGTCAGCTGTGGGAAGCTCTTGGTTTTGTAGGTCCATAGGTGAACAAACTAGAGTTTGAGAGGGATCTGTCTGGCCCTGAAGACAACACACCACTGCTGCGTGCAGACAGGGGTGCTGCCGCGGCGGGAGCCGGGTCTCTGTTCCCGACTGGCTGCAGGGTTTGCAAGCAGGAGAGGAGCAAGCTGCTCTGTTGCAATGGGGAAACCCTGAGCTTGTGGCCCCAAGAAACATGCTCTCCCCTGGGCTCGAGGCACCTGCTCAGGCCTCAGGTTTCACTGCTGGTGGATTTAAGAAGTGGTCACTGTCTAGCTGGCTTTGGGGTCTCTTGGGGCCTCTCCTGCTTCCCACGGTGCCGTAACGCGTGGTCAGCTTGAGTCCCCGGTGTGGTTTGATGCCACTGGAGACGGCGCCCTGAGCTCAGGCCGGGCAGAGCTGAGGGGGAGGCTGGAAGCCCTGGATACAATCACGCGGTGTTGGCAGCGGTGGCCAGCTTCCTTTGTCCCGGGGCGGCCCGGGGAGGGCTCCAGCGTCCAGCCGCATCTCCAGGCATGCAAGGCTTTCTTCGCCTCAGCTCAGCTCAGTGCACTTGCAGCGAGTCGCTATGCACCGAAGAGGTTTGGCCCGTGGCTCCCGCTATTGCTTTCAGTCACTGCAGGGCACAGGGAAGCACCCTGCCACATAACTGGCCTGCCTGAGCAGCTTTCCTATACAGCCCATGCCGCAAGCCCCAGCCCGGCAGGGGCACAGTGGAGGAAGGGGCAGGAAGCGGCAAACTTCCACCTTCCTCTGGAGCTTGGATCCCAGGAAAGATGAGGAAAGTCACGTGAGTCTGCGGCTCTAGCGTGATGCCTCTTGCTGCAGAAGTGCCGGGCCGTGCTCACCGCTCCCCTGCCCTCCCGCCAGTGTAAGTGCTTTAGCAACGCCGGCGGCCGGGCTCCGGGTCTAGAGATCCCGCCTGCGTCCGTTCGTGTTCAGCAGCTGCGACCGCATGAGCTGGATGCTGCTCAGGATCTTCTTCTGGTGGCCCATGGGGGCGATGCCCAGGCTGCGAACGTCCCTGCGAAAACAGAGGGCCCATCAGAGACGGCGCTCTCCAGCGACCGGGCACCGGGCTCCAGGCGTCCCCGGATCAGCTCGGTGCCCTGTCTCCGTTTCAGGGACTGATCGGCTGTCGTTCTCTATGGCACACCTTGGTCCCATGACAGCCCCGGCGGGAGAGGGAGGCAGAAGGGGAAATAGCTCCTGGCAGGCTAATAGCAGGCAACAGTGATGCTCTAAAATTGGATTCCCTCTCCGTGAGGTGTCCTCAGATAGCCCCGTCAGATGGACAGGCAGCCCCCTCCACCAAACAGCTTCCCTGGTGCGTCTGGGCGGCTCTGACTGGCGTTAGCTCACACTGACTTTCTTGCAGCCTGACAGTGGCAAAGCTCCTGCCGTGCGGGCTCCTGCCTTGCCCGTCTCAATCCACTCCCTACAGCAGGCTCTCGCCATACTTGCACCCCAATCCTCTGCTCGCCAGCTCTCCCCTTCAGCAACGGAAAGTAAGCTGCCTCCAGGTTTGCCTGGCACACCAGAGCCTGTTGGTACCCAAGCCAGGGCACCCCTGTGCCCAGTGCTCCCTTGGCTTCTGGACACAAATAAGCTCTGGTAAGCTGAGGCAAGGTTGCTCCTAGCCCCTGCACAGATGCACAGCAGTAAGGGGCTGTGGACAGAAGTCACGTGGCTTCCTATGAGGAACCCTCCAGGACATCTCAGGGCTTGTGTGAGCTTAAAAACACGGGGCTTCAGAGCCCCTTGGCTTGTTCTGCCAGCTGAGGAAATGCCCCCCGTAGTCCTAGCCTCACAACTGTGCAGGAGCCTGCTGGGCTGCTAGCGAGTGACCGCACCAGCCCTTTATTACCCACGTGCCAGCCAGGCCTGAGCCTCACTGTTAAGCTTGCCAGCTCTAGTGAGCGCAGACGGCTGCAGGCCGTGGGACGGGGTTATACTCACTCGATGCCCATTCGCATCACCATCCCCAGGGAGGAGTACCCAGCCATAGCGAAGTTCTCCCGGTAGCGCCCCAGCCTGATGGACTCCAGCCAGTCCTCCACTGTCCCACAGCGCGTGAAGTCAAAGATGCCTCTGTCGAAGGGCGTCTGGGTGAAGCTAGAAGACAAGGAGAAAAGCCATCAGCTCAGCTGCTGAGAGAGAGTGGGCTCAGGGCACGGAGTCAAGCTAATGGAAAATCAGGCAAAGGATTCCCGCGGTCGGGTTGTAGAGCTGCTGCTGGCAGCCCGATGCCCAGAGACTCGGATTCCCTCGTGCAGAAAGACCTGTGACATCCAAAGTGAAGGCCTGAGCCAGCAAGGATAGAAAGGCAGAGGGAGTGCAAAAAGGACATGTCTATTTGCAGTGATCAACCCTGTGTGTGTGTGTGTGTGTGTGTGTGTGTGTGTGTGTGTGGATGTGCCCATATTATTGGGTGTGCACAGCTGGGCCCCAGGTTGTGGGATACAAGGTGCACACGTGTGTGTGCAAAGCCAGGTGTGTGAAGGGCAGGCTCCTTGTCAGCTCAGCTACTCTAGGCATTAAGTAGCCTGTTTCCAAATGCACGCTGTGTCCTGCTGGTGTTAGCCTCCCAGTGAAAGTGGTACTTTGGACCTCACTGGGCTAGCCGGGAGAGCTAACGCAGCTCATTGTGGCTACGAAGAGGACCGCACTAGCCTTATGCTTTGGCTTGGAGAGATGTTTTAGGCACATCTCGGTAGTTATGATCTATCCCTTCATCCTTGTGCTCTGAGCAGTTGTAGCTGAAAGCCTCTCACTGGTCCGTGGTAGCTGTGAACTACCCGATTTAGCCACGGTGTATATTCTGGCTTCGGCCTGGAGGCTCTCACCATCAATTGTGGCCAGAATTAATGAAGGAGAAGCCACCGTTGCCAGATCCTGGCTAGCCGAGAGGCTCCCCAGTTCTCCACGACTATGAAAACCAGCTGGGGTGAGCTCTGTTTGGGCCAAATCACCTGGCCTGGCTCATGGAGGGTGCAACGGAGGCCTGCCGGGCTCTTACCGGTTCACCGTAGCCGTGCATTTCAGGTTCTCTGGGTTGCGGATGAGCTTGTCCAGGATGCTGACGATCTGCGAGAAGCGGGGTCTCTCGCTGCGGTCCTTCTGCCAGCAGTCCAGCATGAGCTGGTGCAAGGCTGTGGGGCAGCCCATGGGAGCAGGCAGGCGGTAGCCCTCTTCGACAGAGTTAATGACCTGGAAGGAAGGCTTGCTCTTAGTTAGGAGCGGGAGCACCCGCGGCATTGATGCCTGGGCCCCTGCACTCATCTCCAGAGGCCTGTGGAGCCAGCTGCCAGCTACACTGACAACCAGGTGCAGAAAGCAGGCGGAGCAGGTACTCTGCAGTGGGATGCGGGTTGGGCTGGGTGCAGCTCAGGCCCCCTGCTCCGTCACAGCCCTTCAGTAAAGCAAGTGACTGAAGAAAGCCAGCAAGCCAGGGACGGGATCTGCTTACAACCAGGGACCACAGGACACAGGCAGTGGCATCAGGGTGTTTTCTGTACGTGTCCCTCTGAACACACCACTGACTAGATAGATATTTGCCCCCACCTTGCTCCAGTCCCTCCCTTCATGAGGTCCCCACCACAGTCCCATCAACAGGACACGGGTGGCAAAGCTGACACAAAGCAAATCAAAGCTAAAACCCACCTTCCTCCACAACCTGCTCAGACTACGGGCTCTCACGGCAAGGGTTATCTTTTCACCTGTTTGCACCGTATCTGAACCACGAGCCTCCTTCTCATGGGGACTTCGTGCAGTCTCTCAATAAACTGGCTGGATGAATCAATTAAGGGCCACGCAGAATACTTAGCCCAGGGCTTTCTGCAGCAGTTGTTTCACAGGGGCAGAGCTAAAGTGGTGGGGCCAGCGTGGCCCTAAACCAGCAGAAATCCTTTCATGCAGAGGGGAGCGTGGCGAGATGAGATGCCCGGTCCTGGGGTGCGGGCCCGCACTGGCAGCAATGCCTGCAGACGTGCATCCCAATACCAGACGCTCCAGGACAAAGCTGCACGCTGTGCACAGCTGTTCGAGACCGCAGGGAGACCCCGGGCTAGAGACACCTCGGGAGGCAGCTCTGCTGTGGGCTGTAACCAGTGTGGGCCATGCAATAATTTGAAGTGTGGCAAGACCACAGTGGCAGCCGCAGCACAGAGGGACCTGCGCGAGACGTGCAGGAGGAAGAGCTGCCCCCGCATTTGCCTTCCCAGCCCTACGACGTGGAGAGCTGCCCTGGGAAGAGCTAGGAGGGAAGGCCGGGGCAGGGGCTGGTCCAGGACGTCTGCCTGGCTCACGTACGTCTCTGTTGGTCATGTTCCAGTACGGGCGCTCGCCGTAGGCCAGCACCTCCCACATGACGATGCCGTAGCTCCACACGTCGCTGGCGGAGGAAAACTTGCGGTAGGTGATGGCCTCGGGGGCTGTCCAGCGAATGGGGATCTTTCCACCCTGAAACATCAAGGAAACCCTGCCTGAAGCTGCCACCTGGCACAAGGGCCCATGGAAATTCAGGCTCCCAGACAGCTCCTGCTCTCCATCTCTCTCTCAGCATCCCTCTCCAAGGGATGCCCAGGTGATGGAGATCAAACCTGCAGCTGCTAAGAACACACACTATGAACTGGAATCGGAGCAGTTCACACCTGAAATAAGCAGACCCAGGGTATGAGGGGGCTTTCTCAGTTCACTCTTGATAGTGGCCTAGGAAAGACAGTGCCTCTGCCCCTTCGAATAACACACAGGCTGTTTTCTGGTTCAGTGACCAGCTACACAAGCACTGAAGGGCTTGAATATAAATTGTCTCATTACATTTCACTAGGTCTGGGAGTCCTCAAATTGGAAAGTGCATTCAGATATTCTTCCCTCCTTCAAATGATCAGCCATGTCCTCTCCTGGGCAAGACTGGACCCCACAAATGGCCAAAGGTAGGGAAGCTAGCACAGACCAGATGCCTCGTCTCCACTACACCACCCAGGCCAGGCCAGCACAGGCTTAGCTACAAGACATGCTGGGGGGTCATCAGCTCGGACAAGCTGAGGAGGTGGCAAGCATGGATGGTGTCAATCAGAAGATGACCACGAGCCACGCACGTGATGTGGTTGCAAAACAGATGCAGGGATCGTAGGATGGAGCAGGCAAAACATCTCAAGCAGACATGGGGCAGGATCAGTGTTGAGGTGCTGGAGAGATCACTGGGGACAGCAGTTCTGGCCACCCCCGTTCAGGAAATGCCCCGGGCAGGGGGTCGGACTCGATGATCTAACAGGTCCCTTCTGACCCTAAAATCTGTGAAATCTATGAAATGGGAATTCCAGCTGGGACAGGGACAGGGAAGAGATAGCAGGACAATTAGTGACAATGGTGATGGTGTTATGGGGAAAAATGTATGCTCCTGCAGGAGTCAGCAGGGGAAATGACCTGCTTACCGGGGGTAATCTAGTCGTTTGTTTTAATCCCACTTTCCTGTCCCCGTCTCTGTGGGGCTTCAAAGAGGACGCAGGCAGCTGTGCTCGTGGGGGACGGAGCAAGACGTAACGGGCTCGCCCTGGCCCAGAGGAGAGTCCTGCCACTCGCGCATGGGTCGTGACTCCATTTCCTTGCCCACGACTGCGTGTTTGCTCCTGTTCATAATCCCCACTACGCCATTGATTTTTCCCCCCAAATAGCTCACTGTTCACACAAACCGCCGGGGCCTTCCTGCAGCACCGCAGCCTGGCCCGTCGTTCCCCGATTTGTGTTTGTGCACGTGATTATCTCATTTTCCTGGCAGGACTTGGCACTTTAGCCTTACCGAATTCAATCCTATTTCAGACCCTTTCTCCAACGGATCAAGGTCCATAGCCTTTCCTCGATGGGGTCTGCAACACCACCCAGCTGGGGGTCCTCCTCAAATTGCCTTAGTGAGCCCTCACTTTCATTCTCCCAGTCATGAATAAAACTATTAAACAGCATCGAGCACCCAGCAATGCTAAATGTCATCTGTCAGTTTATGGCCCACTCCCACAGCTTTGTAAAAGCTCTCTGTAAACTCTTCTCCATTAGCTTTGGATTTGACTGCCCAGAAATATGTTGTGTCAGCGCCAGACTTTGCCTTCTTGTCATTTATTCCCTTTTCCAGATCATCTGTGAAAATGTTGAACAGCACAAGGCCCAGCACAGACCCATGGGGGACCCCACTGCAGCACAGGTCCAGGGTCTGCACTGGTCGCCTTCTGCCCGTGGGAAGAAAAGCTCGCGACACTGAAGTCTCTCAGCAGGGTTACAAGAAACAGCATGCTGGCGGTCAAGAAAGCAGCTTGACATCTTCCATTCGCTGTGAAGTCCTTAACATTGATGTGGGACTTACAGTGCTCCTTCTAGGGGCCTGGCACTCAGTATCCCCACGGCTGTGCGGGTCCTGAGGTTAGCTCCCAGCGGCGGCTGCTGGGTGCACAACTTTGTCATGATGAACACGAGCACAGGGAAGCAATGTCTTTGGCTTGCAAGTCTCAGTTGGCAGAGCCAGCTGAAGCTGAATCCACCTAGCTTGGGGACGGGTTGTCCGGAACCGGAGCTAACAGCCAGTTAACTGGCTCTAAAGATCTGGTGGAAGATCTACTAGTCCTGATACAAAGCGAGTGCTTGATATAAAGAGCTACTAGTCCTGATATAAAGCGAGTGCTGATAGAAAGCAAAGTTACTGCACTGTGGTACACTTAAGTTGAGTAAGGGTATCTTTATAGCTGCTTGCTAGCAGTACCTGACCTATCTAGGTTCGAGCTAGCTCGGAGATATCTACACGACACTGCAGCCATGTACTGTAAGCACCAATTCTTGAGCAGAGGTTAAATGTCCCAGTCTCTGATCCCCTCTCTTGAGTGAGTTTCCCCTCTGTTTGAGACAGCCCAAATACTGAGACACTGTACCTAGGAGATGCCTCAGAGGTAGCTCAGGTGATCTAAAGTTTTCTTTCATGGTCACCCTCACACTGAATCCGGCAAAGACATCAAAAGAAACACGTCCACTGACAGCTTGAAACCCACAAAATGAAGCTACTGCTCGCGAGGCTTGTTCTGGTGATCTCACAGACACCAGCATCAGGCTGGGTTTTGATCCTGCCGGGGAACCTTAACGGGGGTCCTGCTGATTCACCGAGACAGACGTGACTTCTTGTGTGACCTTGGTACAAATGAGACTGGGCTGAGCCTCATGGGCAGAGGATACAGGGCGTTTGCTGAGCCAGGCTGGGGGAAAAGCAGCACACTGGGCTGGATGTGATCTTTGCTATCCTACTGTGATTTTCTTTGGTTTCCTTGTTAAAATTGCTACCTTTGGACTTCATTTCAGTACCAATCTGTTTGCACTATACTCTGCAGAGAAGGCTGTGTAAAAAATGCAGGATTGTAGCATTAGTTAACCAAATCATTCGCTTTCAAATGATTTATAATGGTGTAAGGGCATCCCTAGTTCCTGGTACTGGCACAAGGAGGCAAAGTGAGGAGAGTTTCTTGCTCTCACCGTATCTTGCGTGTCTGATTTCTATACCTGACCATCCTGCTGCAGCCTGGACTGAAACACGGGTCTTTGCAACCAGTCCAATGAGAGAGACAGCGAGCACCAGGCCAGGCCAGCAAGGGACGTACCGTAGTCGTG